TTTCCATTAGTTTAGCCATTGTTGGTAACAATAAAAATCGGGAGAGAGTTGCAAACTAATGATTTATAGACAGAGTGAAACACAGGATGACCTTGGCTGCCTTCCAGTCACTAAGAAAATGACTGGTAGTTAGAAATAAATTAAAATTATTGCAAAAGGAGAACATAACTTATTTCTCCGATAGGTAATTTTAGCAGCTAAATAGCCCTGTCATTAAACTAGCAGCTGTTGTACAAATTATATTTCAAGATAAAAAAGAAATTACATCTTCTATAGTTGTTACAGTTTTGAGAATGATGAAAAACCTAATTCTGTATGAGCTGACAGAAAGGGAGSTCCTGTGATAAAGCTGAATATATAATCTTAGCTGGATTGCAGTCACCTAAAGGACTCTTATGAAAGTTAAACAGATCGTATGTCAATCTATTAACAGAAACGGAAATTCCTTTACAGCTGACTCCAAAGAAAAAAAATCCRACCTTCCCTGACTGGAATTTACATTGTTAATGAAACTTCAGRATTTTCTTCATTTTGCAGTTTCAAGTGATTTTGATACAACAATATCATCAGCAATGTATTCTCTTTAATCAATGTGTTATTTTTGATAAATAACCCCARTATTACCCCAATATTTTTTGAATTTCCTGTTGCTGTGACAACTGATGTTTCTCATGTTTTGTGAAGTCTTGTGCAGTCATCTCAGTACTTTCTGCCTTGACTGCCCTGAGGTTCCACTCCCATTTAATGACATCTCTCTTGGCCAGCAGAGAATAAACAAAACAGCAAACAATTCAACAGTGTCAGTGGGGTACTACAGAGACCAAAGTGGTGGCCCAGGCAACTATAATTCATAAAATATATTCTGGTTTTCAGATGTATGGCTAGCCAAGATTCAACATCTGGAAAGAGTTTCATGTTTGGAAGAGTACATCTTCAACGTTCTTCAGAAATGGAAACATACTTTACAGTTTTGATATGCTATCGCTGTCCAGAAAAACACACGATTAATGAAACATTAATTTAAAAAGCAAGACAAAGGGAGGTTGCATTTTTCTTCCTTTTAACTTTTTTTTTTTTTTTAAGGAGTGGACTCCACTTCTCCCACTTCTGCTTGCTGCACTGTTTGCTGCTGCACAGGCCAAGATGCACATGCAGATTCCTGCTTAGGCTGATGAGAACAGCTCACATTCTTCTCTTTAAAAGGGGCTTTATCACGTATATTGATCAACACAAAATAAAACTGAAGGGACATATGTAAAGAATGGAGAGAAGGAACAACTCAAGAGTTCTCTCTTGAGTGTGAGACCTGGCACAAAGAGCTTCTTTTATGGTTAGTGTGGGACAGGCATGCTGAGACACTGGCCTGGCAGCCACCACTAATCTTATCTCCAACACACCTTGCATGGGAAAAATGGAGAGGAGCATCTGAAAGKAAGCCAGGTTGAGGACCCTGGGGAAGGCACATGAAGAACCTGGCTGCTCTGCCCTCCTCCCAGGAATTAGGGCTAGTTCCCAAATTAAAAATCGATGGGGCAGCAGTGACACAGGTAGGTGATCACAGATCAACTGCGCTGTGAAATTATCTTGGCCTTGCCCGTAGGCATATGAAAAAAAGTGGCAGAAATCCCAATCAGGTGGTTTCTGGGGAGAATGAGCTTGCTGGTAGATATTACCCTTCAGCTACTTCTCCTAGTCCTCATTTTGCTACCCTACCTTTTCACTGGGTCTTCTCTCTGGATTTTGCCTTTAGAAAAGAAACAACAACAGAAACAAACTTAAACTAGTATAAGTTGGCAAACAGATGATTTTGCCTTCCTTTTAGTCTTACTCTGTCATCATTTGTTCCCGCTTTTGTATGTTTTACCTTTGGCCAACAGAAATATTTCTGCAACTGTGAGATGAACTAGGTTCTGAGACAATTCCCACAAAGACCGTCCCCTTTTAAACTGACCATACAGCTAAGTACATTTGGCTATGTGTAAATCAGTTATGGTCAGGATACAAGTCCACTCAACAAATCTACTTGGAAAGAAATGCCAGAGGGGCACTTACAACTTCAGTTCCACCATTTCGTGCCTATGCACAAGGCTGATTTAAAACACACAGCATCTGCTGCTGTTTAAAAGTATAGTTAAAAACTCAGCTGTGACAAGAAGGCTATTTGCCTATAAAATGGTAATGGTACCATTTACAAAACAGGAGGGCATAAGACATCTCAGAGAATTGGCCTATTTTTCTTCCTTTTTAGGATGGAAAAAAAAAAGGAAGACCAGTTTTTCCCAACTCCTCTTCAGAAATCACAAATACTTTGTTTGAAAGTTCTAAACTAATTTAATCTGGGGAAGATGCCAAGCATTGAGAATTTCAAGCCCAATTGCATGGTATGTGGCAAAGCAGTGAGAAACAAAGACAGGGTCTTATAAAAGGAAGCACTGAGCAACCTTTTTAACAAGAATGTTTTCAACTCTGTCTGTAATGAATAAATCAACACAAATAACAAGTGTGACCACTAAGTAGCAGCCTCAGGACGAGTCAGCAGCTACAGTCACACTGCTGGGATGCAGGCAGCCATGGTGGGTGCCCAGTATTGGCCTTGGTAGGGAGCACTAGGCTGCCCCAGCCGTATGCCCAGAAGAGACCTACAGAGCTTGAACCTGGGGCATCAGGGCAAGCCCTCCATGCAGATGTGGTTCTAGGTGGCTCCCAGMTATCCCACCACACAGCCCTGGTAACCTGGGATCCCTCCCTGCTGTGGCTCCAAAGACAAGAGCAGCCAGATGGCTGCAGGCAACCCTTCGCTCAAAAACACAGGCACCCATGCTCAAACACCGTGAACGAGCAACTCTTTAAAAAGGCCAGGAAAGATGATCAAACGAAAAAGGAAAACCCTGGCAGAATTTTAGATGCTAAAATTAGGACATATTTTTCACACCAGATAGCRTACACAATGTTAATGCAAATATTATAATGCTGACAACTTGTTCTTGACTGAATTATGAAGCTATTAATTTACAAGGGAAGGATGCAGTACTAGTGTCACAGTCTTACGCTGCTAACTGCAGCAAATTAATACATTTACCTCATATTATACAGCTGAGACATTTGTTTGGCAGAAACTCAGGACAGTAAAATAAGAGAGATTACTATACTGTCATTTTTCCATAGTCCATATTTTTCCATAGCAGATGACACTTGAAAGCCAGGAGGAAAACTGCTCTGTTTCCACAGATTTACTCATCTACCAATGCAATATTTCTTTATACTTGATATACAGCTGTGCTAACCACCGGAGTTCAGCTTAGGGCTGCGCGTGCAGATAAGGAGGCACAGGGATCGCAATGGAGGGTGGCAAATGCTGCTTCTGAACTCCATTTGGGATAAAGGGTCCTCTCTTACTCAAGACCGAGAAAGAAAAACCTGTTTGGGAATTGAGAGAGTTACCTGGATACACAATCCATTTCCTAAACACCAACTGTTTCAGAATGTCTGATTTCTCATTAGGGAGGAACAGCAGCGCAAGAGCACGGGCTGATCTGCAAAGCACTGCAATGGCACTCAGCAAATCGGCTCCGGGGTGCCGCGTGGGTTTGCTCCACTTTCATAGAGAGGGGAACATACCATTGCCCAGCCATGGTAGAAGCATGAATCAATTAGTATCACCACACAAATCATATGAAGAGGAATGCACTTCTGCCACTAGAGAAACACACATGTTTGAATGCAACTATTTTTTTTTGCAGCAGTCAAGTCTAAGGTTTAGAAATTTTTTATGGTTAGTATGACAGTGTGTCAAAAGCAGCAGTGCTAAACGGCATGTGTTGCCAATGGGTCTTCTAAATTTACWACACTGAGAAGGTACTTTACTGCCATCAGGAGCTCATTTGCTGAATCCTGGGTTAGGAACCAAGACATTCAGGACCCAAATCCAAAAGCCAGTTAAAAACCCGGCTTAGAGATGGGCACTTAAATCCTTCCTTCAGATTAAGCATCTGCTGGGCAGTTGGCCTGCTCTGTGATAAATCACCTCCGCTGTATGTCCAGGTCCTTCTTGTCTGATCAAGATGTTCAGATTTAGAGCTCTCCTCATTTTGCGTTTGAAAACCACCTACCACAAGTGTGGAGGGGGCACAAAAGGTATAAAAAGGACCTGYAAGCTTTACTTAGACACCTCACAGTTATCCTTATAGTTCAAATAGAAATAAGTTACATAGGGTATCATTCTGTTGTAGTTTGATTGTCGAATGAATGCCATTAGCCTGATCATATATGGCTGGTTTCATGGGACAAGTTATTCATGGGACATTCATTTTCAAGGGACAACCTGTAATTCAACACTCTTGGTTCACTGTGCAAATCAGTGTTTTTGTATCTTTTTTAATGTAAAGATATTTCTCTGAAATATTTTAAGATTCATTTTCTCTAATTTCTAATTTGAGTCATGAACATTTGGGGACCTGGGAGGAGTCTGAAATCTTGACCTGCTTCCAGCAACTAGAAGCTTCTGCTGCAACATTCTGAGCCTGCCAAAAGAGTCTCTGACCTACAGGGAAGCTGCCTGCTGCATTTAAAGCAGGTGAACTTCATAGCAAACAGGAGTTTAAGCAACTCATTAGCTTTCAACTGCATGCAGTTTTCCTGGGACTATAGCCTTAATACAGCTGCAGTCTCCAACAGTGGCAATGATTTTTGCATGTTCTGAATAGTATGTCCAACTGCCCGTATTTACTCCATAAAGTAAATACTGAACCATTGCTTTTTATTCATCACACTTGTTTTCTTCAACTTAAAAACACTTGCACAGCTGCAGAGGGAGACAGCAGCAGTTTGACCCAGCTGATAATATCCTGTCCTCAGCTAGATGATTCCCTAATGGCTGAGACCTGTCACCTTGCAACAATATCCTAGTGATATTCCTCAAGCCTTAGCTTGCAGCAAAGTATGTAAACCATTTCATTCGCCAGGACAAGTTACACACAAAGAAAGAGATGACTGAACTTTACCCCTTGTTCTTGGCAGATCTGGGTTAGTCTTTCCAGCTGCTCATCTTGAATAACCTTTGCCTTCTCATATTGCTGAATCATCATCTCCATCTCCAGTTTCACTGGAAGGACATAGGCTGGAAAATAGAAATAAGCATGTGAAGTAACGCAGCTGTGATTTGTTTTTTATCAGAGGGAATACCTTTGCAGACCTTCAGGCCAGAAGGCATCTTCTTAACAGTCTAGTCTTGTACTGCACAGGCCACAGAACTTCACCCCTTTCACTGACAGAGAACTGGATAATTTCTTTTCCAAACAGAATTTTTTTCTGGGGAAGGACTTCTAACATGTACAATTCAGGTCATCAGCGAGGTCTAGACCTTGTTCAGTCATATCTCTGTTTGTCTGGCTGAGCTGAAATGCATCCTGCACGCTCTCCCTAGCTTCTGCACTAACACGGATGTTTTCCCAGTGTTTACCACAGGTTTCCTGAACTGCTGGGTAGGAGGATTTTCTGCTTGGAGTCGTGCCCATCCCCTCAAAATTTCAACAGTACGGCTCTCTTGGGAAAAGAATTATTCCAGAGCTCTAAGCATTTAATTCCTAGGCATATTTGCAAAAATAAGTCCTTGATGGAAATAGCAGACTAAGAAGGAGATTTTAAAAACAAAAAGGCATTTCACTTCTATGGCTTTTCAAGAGAAGGAGGTCTCTATGGCCCAGTTTTCAGCAAGTCTTCTGAATGCCTCTGGAAATTTTGCTCCAGCTGTACTTAATGCAAACTCATACTATCAACAAAGGTGTTTTAGGGCCACTGCAATTCTTGATGCTTTGTGAAGCTACACAAGATCCTCAACTGTGCTTGGATACTTCACTCAGAGGACTATGATTTTTCTCAACTCTGAATACTGAAGGTCCTGGGCATCTGTCCAGAAATAACACCCCAACCTTGATCTTTCACACTGGAGAAAAGTAACCCTTCAGTTATTTCTTTTCCACCTCCTATCCTTGCAATCTGAAATGTCTGAAACCACTTATCACAAAGCAGCCTATACCTGGAGAGCTGTCCCTTTACCAACCCTAAGGTTTGTTTCCTTTAAGTTCTTGCTTCCAGGTAGAGTTGCTGGTTATGTTCTCTGTGACCTTGACTYGCTTTCACCTCCCCTGGTGCGCCCCACATTTTTGCCTTGGCAAAACTGTACTGATGTACTGGGCAAAACTACCTCCTGGTTCCAGGAGTTACAGCATGCCAGGTTCACAGAAAGCACCTTTGAGAGAGAACCCCYGCTGTCAGAAACACTCAGGAATCTGACATAAAAATCATGTTACAGGCAAAAACTTGAAAAGAAAGCACTAACACAGAGCTACCTGGGGGGATAAGGAGATGGTGCAGCAGATATCGGAAAAGCCAATTAGAAGCAATTATTTTGCAGAATCAGGAATATTGTCTGGTGGCAAGAGATGGGAAAAGGGCAGGTCAGACGCATTGTCAGGATGGGGGATGTGAAGGTGCATCACAATAAAGTGCAAACCATTCAATTATATAAAGATTCACAGGGGARTAACAGACATCTTCATGAAATCGAGATCTATTCTCCTCCTCATAATTCTCTTTTGTTCAGTGGTTTGAAATGGAGGAGGGGGGAAAACAATAAAAACAATGGTAACAAGCAATTTTGATATTTTTTCTCCATAATTTTATTCTTCTCCAAAGTCACTCACCATCAAYGATCCTCTTCACTCTCCATATTCGTAGTGTGATAATAAGGCTGATAGCATCCCAGGGGCTGCTGGGGCCATTAGCCACTGTTGAGGCCACCATTGGTGCCAAGGACAAGATTATGACAGCACCATCAAACACCTAGGGAGAAATCACCTTTTCAAACCTTTCCTCACAAGCTCTGACATTTCTGCTCTGCCTTCCTCCACAAGAAACATTACAAAACATATTTGTATGGGGTAGGGGAGTGGCCAAGTCTCAAAAATGCTCCATCCTTTTCATGCAGCACAACAGAAATACTTTGTGTTTCACCCAGAGACCATGAAGGTGAGCAGAAAAAGTGTGGTGGGARGGCAGGGGGCAAAAAAGCATTTGGATCTACTGGCCAAAATCTCCAGGTAGGGGTGATAGCATAAATGTTATTACAACCAGAAAGTTTTATAGCATTGCTATTTATTACCTGTTAATTAGCATAATGCTGACCCAAGTGAGGATACAGTCCCTGCCCATAGATCTTGCTGTCTAAATGAAGAGAGCAAGAAGGCAAGTCGAAAGAGATGGAGCAAAGAGACGGGATGGCTCCAGGCCATATCCTGCCTATGAAACGGGTGTGCAGACAGCTGTGCGTCAAGACTCATCTATGGGCAGCTACGTTTTCAAGGATTCTGACAAATAAAAACTCAGTAGGATTTGTATGACTATGACACTAGCTGCCTTGCAGATTGGGTCAGAAAAGGCAATCTGCAAGGTGTAGGAGGAGCAATGTGTGTCTTAACGCACTTCACAGCAAACCTGCAGTGGTGCTGTGTCTGTCCTACCCTTCTCCAAAAGGACAGAGTCGTCTCATGTTCTTGTTCCTATCCAGACCCTTCCCAATTGCCAAAGACCACAAGCTAATGGCTTGCACAGGGAGGCAGCAAATAGTTTTTGTAAGCAACACACATTCAGAAGTTTTGCACAGAAACTCAATGTACCGAAAATAAACAGTTTTCAATGATTCCACTGCACATTATCAAATTAAATTCTCTGAAACTGCTGCATTTTGGTCAATAATACAGAATCTCTGTATCAATAATGTGAGTTTCACTTCAGTTTTTAGCAAAAGAAGTCAAAAGGTATTAAAATTAATTACAAAAGCATGCAGACATCTGAATTCACTTAAACCCAATGAAAAAAAAAACCAAAATTCTTCCTGCTGCATCCTCTGCAACATTAGCTTTTCACACAATTCCCAAAATAAGCTTTTCATTTTCTTGACCTGCAGATTTCTGCTTAAATTAGGATTACACGTTACTTTTAATATTACATTTCTCTGTCTGTCTCTGGAACAATACATATATTTTACCTTAATTTTTGATTTGAAGTTAAAATTACAACATTTTTAAAGGTTAAATTTATTTTTAAAAATTCACAAGAAATTTGGGGTTGRGAAGGGCAGTGCCAAATGACTATTTTCTATCAGAAAACTGCTGAAAATTTTGCAACAAGTTCTAATTTCAACTTGATTATGGGAATGTGGTTACACAAGCCGCACGACCGTGTTTGCCCCTACTGCTCATTCTCTCTGCGTAGCACTGTCAGCAGTTTGGCTAACACAGGTCTAACAACAAAATTCATAAGCACATGGACCAAAATGTGCAATTTTCAACCCCAGAAATAAAATATTTCTAAATATAATTCTTCTAACTACAGCTGAATCTTGCGCTCTTGTAGGAAAAGGGGCTACCTCATATAGCTCTGTATACATGTATATGCCAAGAAGATTGTGCTTCTACCTCTGAATACCAGCTAAAAGACACCTGTACTGCRTGTGGTCTATAACAAACCCACCCAAAGCAGTCCTTAATATTCCTGCTGTGCCTGCCTAGGAAACTGGACAAAGAGGAGGTGTGCTTACCTCTATTTTGTTTTCAATATAATCCCATATGCCAAGGACCACAATCCTCAAAACAGTCTGGTGAAAGAGATTAGAGAAAAAAAAAAAAGACAACAAATGTTATTGTAACTTAAGATGAACATTTCATCTTTATTCTTTTCAACATTTCTTTTTGTCTTAAGCATTAAGCATTTGTTCTAAATAATACCAAGGACTGAGAAACGATACTAGCTCAGCAGAACTTCCCTAAGCRAGTACAAAGTCCCACACTCTCAATCTTTCCATCTTCCTACAGTCTCCCTTTTAGATGTGTGAGATCCAGATTACTGAAATCCTCCACCCCCCAGGTCTATGTAAGATTTGGTCTCAGTACCTCTCAGAGGTGCTTGTATGGGGAGAAATTCTATTTTCCTGCCATCTTGGATGTGCCAATGCTTATGGTTTTCCTAGAATACCGGCACTACATGATGTATAAAGCTACTGATATTTCACCACTTTTCCTCTCAAGAGTGGAATATGGACATATGGAATATTGTCTTATTATAAAATTCCAGCAAGCCAGAGAGGGAAGGAGAAAATATCTCCATGATCCTGCTCTATTAAGCAAAACAGCTACGGGTAGCGTCAGTAGCTAGGAAAGAAGAATAAAGAATGAACACAGAATGAACCAATGGTGAATTCTCATTAAAAATCCAATGGCATCTTCCTTTTTTTTTTTTTTTTTTAATTAACCTTGCTTGAATACTTTCAGAAGATGCAATTTAAAAAATCAATCAGCAAATTGATRATAGAAATCGTTGAAACTGAATTCACATAAAAGCATAATCACGAGGGATATTTTCTACCCACAGCAACATCAAACTCTYGACACACGTTACATGCAAGAAGATCCTAACCGTGCAGCTGTGTGCCCTGCAAAGAAGACCAAAATGCTACTTTCTCCATGAAAGGACAGAAGAGCTGAGCTGACCTAAGCGTGTCAGCTGACCATRCCACGGACTGTGCAGAAAAAGAGATATAAAATGACTGTGATGAATATACGCATTTTCTTCATTACAAATACAAATACATTAAATCCCTACCAGCATCAAATTAATGCCAAATGTACCAAGGCCAACTGCAGAGCAGCACTGGATTTTTCTATACAGTGCTGTTGGTGTGGACAGCTGTGAATCTCAGCCGCTGCGGGCTGGGCTGATCGTGCTGTCTTGGTGCTCTAACCTCATTAACCTGTGTGCAGGGAGGGCCTCGATAGGCAGGAAGGGCTGCACAACTGATCCCATATTTGCCAACGTGATGGCACGTGAGCGCATGGYGTAAGGGCACGTGCTGCTGTAAAGCTGAGGTGCTGCTGCTTTCAGCTAAAAGCACCTTAGCTCCTCTGCAAGCACCTCTCATGCTCACGTGCATGAGAACACGCACAAAACACTTCAGCACCAGTTACTCGGGAGCACGTAAATGTGATTTTGCAAGGTAGCCTGGGGTCCACCATGACAAGCTCATGGACAGTCACCGGGACAYGAGTTAGGAAACATGATGCCTCCTGCAGCACTGAGCATGACAACTTTCCCAACAGCGACTCACTGACAGCGGAGAAGACCAGGTTATTTTCTTCTATGTATATACTGCATCAGTAAAATATTAAGCCAAAGGGCAACTAAAGGATGGCTGAATACTTTGCACCTTTACAGAAACTGATGGTGGAAAAGAACATTGCAGAACATTGCAGATAACTTCTTGATACAGGTGGTTGAGGAGCCAGCAAGGAGAGGGGCGCTGCTAGACCTGATACTAACAAACAGAGATGGTCTAGTGGGAAATGGGAGGGTTGGGGGCAGTCTGGGCTGCAGCGACCACGAGATGTTGGAATTCACGATTCTGCGTGGAGGAAGCTGGGCGAGAAGTAGGATAGCTACCCTGGACTTCAAGAGAGCCAACTTTGACCTCTTCAGGGAGCTCCTTGGAGCAGTCCCCTGAGTCGGGGTCCTAGAAGGAAAGGGGGTCYAGGACAGCTGGCTGATATTCAAGCACCACTTCCTCCAAGCTCAGGATCGGTGTATCCCCACAAAAAAGAAGTCAAGTAAGTGGGGCAGCAGACCTGTATGGATGGGTAAGGAACTGCTGGGCAAAATGAACGAGAAAAAAAGAGACTACAGCTTGTGGAAGAAGGGACAGGCCACGTGSGAGGAATACAGGCGCATCGTCAGAGAATGCAGATGTGAAATGAGAAAGGCCAAAGCCCKGGTGGAATTAGAGTTGGCGAGGCAAGTCAGAGACAACAGGAAGGGTTTCTATAAGTATGTCAACAGCAAGAGGAAGACGAGGGAAAATGGTAGTGCACTGCTGAATGGGGAAGGGGCCTTGGTGACGGAGGATGCCGAGAAGGCAGAGTTACTAAATGCCTTCTTTGCCTCTATCTTTACAGCTAAGGCGACACCCCATGAACTGCAGGGCTCAAGTGGAAGAGATGTAAATGGGCTAAAGGAAGATCTTCCGCTGGTTGAGAAGGATTGGGTTAGGGATCACTTAGGCAAACTGGCCACTCAAAAATCTATGGGTCCAGATGGGATGCACCCAAGAGTGCTGAGGGAATTGGCCGAGGTTATTGCTCAGYCTCTCTCCATCATCTTTGAGAGGTCCTGGAGAGCAGGGGAGGTGCCC